AGGACAACCATGTCCGAGTAGTAGATGTAAAGACTGCATCTGGGATCTTCAAACGGTCAGTAACTCGTCTCGCGCCACTGTTAAAAGAAGAAACAGCCGTCAAACGTCCGCACAGTTCCATCGAAGATACAACGGCAACGGATAAAATGGCAACACAGAAGAAGAAGGTGGCACCTTTGGCAACATCAACAAGATTAGAATAGAAGAGACACTGAAACCAGTCGATGACTCAACAACCGAGTAAAACCGACGCCGAATTAGATGCGAATTAGATGCCCTACAACAACAACTCACCAAACTAAAGAATGCGAAGTACGAAAATCAAGTCAGCGCTGTACACCATCATCACGTAGCCGCATATGTGGCACTATCAATATCAATACTACTGGTCGTGACCCTGAGTCTACGATATCGACGAATCAATTGGAGAACACCACAATGCAGCCCCAATCCCCGGACAACAAGTGAACAGCCAGCACCCGAATCTACCCCACGGAGTTTTTCGTTCGACATCACTGAAGGTTGAACACCCGTTCAACGGCCGGGAGAATGTTCAGTCGCTGCAATATATATATAATTCATAATCATAACATTACATAATCTGTAATTCGTCAGTCGCAGCAATCTCATATGCGACCAAAATAAAGTATAGATTACCGGGTCAAGCGCATATGTAGATTCTGCTGACGCGATGAAGTGGGATGGAGCAATAGCCCCATTCCGCATATACCATTACAACCTACATTATTCTTGCACATCAATATTTGTAACCAGAAGCATATTTTTTTCCGCATGCACTAGCAACCTACATTATTCTTTATCATTTTCTTTTTTTTTTTTTTTTTTTTTTCGCATAATATTTATTGGTTTTATAAGCTTTGCTGCTTTAAGCTTAATATCTACTATTCAATCATTGGTTCAATAACATGTAGCAGAGGAAACAATTCAAAAAAATATTTAACTAGGTTATTCGCCGGGTGGGCAGCTCCCGTATGATGACTCTCCTAAGTCGTCGTCTTCCTCTTGCAGCTGGCAGTGCTCTCGCCAGCGGGTTGGGGTGTCGAATTAACCTGGTTCGGTGTCGGGCGGCAATGGTGTTTATGGAGTCTCCCACAGCAGGGACATGTAGCTCTGTCCGTATATCCCGGTTCCTGATATACCACTCAGCACCTGTAATACGCCTTAGGAATCTGCCTTGGAAGGCTTGTATCCTTCGCAGATGCGATCTGGCTGCAGTGCCATATACAGCCACACCGTATTGCCAAATCGGTGCCAGTAGGGACTGATACAGGCGAGTCTTGCACCTAAGGCTCAGCTTCGATTTAGGGCCTGTGAGCCAGCTAATGCGCCTGGCAGTGTTTTCCAATTTGGCCCTAATCTGCTTGATATGTGTGCTGAACGTCAGTCTCTTATCAAGCACCAGTCCCAGGTATGTGTGTTCCACAAGTTGTGGCAGAAGCTGGCCGTGAAGGAAGACACCTGGGCATGTGCTTCGCTTCAGGGTGTATGTGACCACCGCACACTTCTCCGTATTGATGGCCACATTCCACCTACAGGCCCAGTTTTCAAACCTCTTGAGGAGAATCTGAAGTTTATCAGTGGCACTATAGATGCAGCTGGATCTAGCCATTACTGCGGTGTCGTCTGCATATGTAGCAGCACACGCGCGCTCAGAGCTTAGATGAAGCGGGGCATCATGAGCGAATAGATTGTAGAGCGTGGGTCCTAATACGCTTCCTTGAGGGACACCAGCTCTGATATTCCTGGTGGAGGAGGCAACTCCATCCTGCACCACCTGGAAGCTCCTATCCTTGAGGTAGCTGCAGATGATCTCAAAGAGCTGTGGTGGCAGGAGCTCTTTGATCTTGGACAGAAGTCCCTCGTGCCAGACCCTGTCGAAAGCCTGCTGAATATCGAGAAATGCAGCCACGACATACTGGTTCCTTTGGTACCCCTCGACAATAAAATCTACGACTCGGTGGAGCTGTTCAGGAGTACCATGTCCTTTCAGAAATCCGAACTGGTGTCTTGGTATCGCCTCGATGACTTCAGGTAGCCTCTGGATCCTGTCAAGTATGCACCTCTCGAACACCTTGGCAAACGTGGGAAGGAGGCTGATCGGCCTGTAGCTGGCTACGTTGTTGCAGCATTTCCCCTTTTTGTGGATCATTACCACGTTTGCGTTTTTCCAGGAGAGCGGGAAGTGTCCGAGTCTTAAAGCAGCATTGTATACCAGGACCAGGAAGAGGAGTGCCTTAACCGGAAGGAATTTAGCAACTCTATTGGTGATGCCATCCGCTCCTGGCGACTTCCAGTTCTTCAACTTCCTGATCCTGGCCCGCACTTCTGGAAGCAGGATCGGTGAAATGGGAGGCGTCATTTGGTGAGGTATTTCTAGAGAAGCACGGACCTTTTCCGTCCTTTCCTGAGAGGATGTTGCGAAAGGGGTAAATCGCTCCTCCAGACTTTCGGCGAAGGCTTCCGCTCGGTCCTGTGGTGACTTTGCCCAATTTCCATCCGCTTTTCTCACAGGAAACTTGGGGGTTACTTGCCTTTTACTCTGCCCGGCAAGTTTCCAAAGCGCGTAGTCCGTGTCCCTGTCTGGTGTTGCCTCCTGGAGCTCCTTGTCAATGCGCTCCTGGCGTAGAAGTCTCAGCAGCTTCCTGAAACGGTGTGCCAGTCTTCGGTACACCCTCAGCACCCTGGCTTCATGCGTCCTGGAGTATTCCCTCCTGAGCCTGTGTTTGGTGTCAATCAGTGCCCTGATGTCCGGTGGTAGAGAAAGGCGGGGCACAGAGTGGCGGTTTCCATCAGGGGGCATTGCGAGCTCTGCTGCAGCCTTGATTTTATCCTCCAGAAGTATGGCAGCGTCATCTACGTCCTCGGCAGAGTTAATCTCCATATGCAGGTGTATTGAGTCCTCCAAGGTTCTTTTAAACATCCTGACGTCAGATCCGGGGGGCAGGAGCGTCCTTCTTGGCACATAAGCGCTTCCTGGCAGGTGTAGGTTGACTATGAGTGGGATATGATCCGAGCTAAGCTCAAAGGATTCATTAATAGTCAGCCGACGTCCATGGAGTCCTTTAAGTAGGGCGAAATCCAGAGCAGAAGGGGTTCTGCCGTTGCAGGGAAAGCACGTAGGTCTGCCAGTGGCCAGGATTTGTGTGTTCGTGTTATCCAGGGCCTCAACCAGCATTGTGCCTCGCCTGTCAGCTCGGAAGTTGCCCCAGTTGCGGTGCTTGGCGTTGAAGTCTCCTCCTAAGATGGCTTTATCTCCACAAAGGTTAAGCAGAGCCTCAAATCCATCACATGTCCAGGTTGGGCGAGGGGGGAAGGTAGACCGCTGCCACATCCAGATCTCCAAAAGGCGAGTTGAGAGTGATCATCGCCATCTGTGCCAATCCCAGGCGTATCGGGTTGTGCTGAAAGTAGGTCAGTCCACTTCTGACCAAAATCGCAGCTTCACCTCTGGTTACAGCACCAGGGAAGTCAGCTCTATGGAGGAAGTACCCAGGAATGTTGAAGAATACTCCGTGTTTAAGGAAGGTCTCAGACACAAGCATAATGTCAATGCTATGTCTTGAGAGGTACACCAGAAGCTCTTTATCATTAATATTCGTAAATGCAAGCACATTTGTTAGCTTTAAATATCGTTAAGTTTCAAGCAATAAAGTCAGTAATCATCTTCACGTCGAAAAGATCTTTACTCCTCCAACTGCAGTCCACCTAGTTCAAGTGCTGGGTGCGACACAAACAAGGCAATTAGTTTATGTGCTATTTTGTCAGGCATCGAAGCCTACTCACACTAACAAACACTCATACAAACATCATCGTCTTTAGAGAATACAAGAAATCCAAATTTATCGTCCCAACACTTTCGTGAAATTTCCATGAATGTTTCAAAATTCATATCAAAATGAACATGATCTCCATATATGTGACGAAGGTTCATATCGTTCTGCTTAAACATTATAATAAAATTTGCATTATCTCGTATTAAATGTTTTGGAATATGTGTATACGTTTGACAAAAATAGAATGAATCAATATTTCTATGTCGCCCCATACAAAAATAATTTCGAATAGCAGTTTGCTTTTCACACGCTACGTCATCAAACACCATGATGGAATTGTTTTTAGCTTCCTTTGGTGACAAAACGCTGTCATTCGCTGAAAATGTATAATATCCCATTCCTCGTATTGGTTTTACAAGTTTTTCCTAATGCTCATATTTCGGTAGATAACTCTTTGAATACACGTAAATATTTTCGAATTTCAGGCCGTTTGTGTCCTCGATTAGGCAATCATCACATTAGTTTTTCCGCTATTGGACGGACCTACCACCAAAGCTCTAATCGCGTTTGGTAGCAGTGAGCTGAGACGCGGATGTTTACTCTCACCATCACCACCACTTTCAATGTTTTTTACTATTGAAGCTGTCGGGGGCCGTGGCAGTACGATTCCAAAAGATTCCCAATAAAAAGAAAGCAGATTTCGATGGGTTGACTGGATGACGATCCGTTGATCCGTCTTCTTTGAGTTTTATTCTTAGAGTGCCAAAAGAAAAGAACAATAAATATGGCGACAGGTACATATGTCCGCAGTGATGCTCCCCTGGCGATATTGCCCCTTGTGCAGCATGAACATTCCCCCCACCCCCGCGCAAGAGGCATACTTGCGATCTACGAGAGGGAGCATCGTCCGGAAAGGATCCATCCCAGCGTCGTGTGTTGTGCCATTGGCAAGCCGTCCTGACCCGGGAGGATACCCGGGGCATCAGGTCAGCGTAGACATCCGCCCCAAGCACAACCGACACTAGAGATGGGTGGAACCACCGGTCATCCGCCAATGTGACATTCTGAAACATGTCTTGCACCTTCGGATCCAGCGATTGCCCCGGCGTTCGTGTCTGCATCTGCTCGTCCACCAGCATCAGAAGCTGCTTGCTCATCTTGGAGCACACCCGTTGCTCGTGTGCCAGACGGTTCGCGCAGAACTTGTTAATTAGTACCACGCGGAGCCGCTTCACCGATGGCAGTTGAAGAAACCGTTGGCAAACCCTCAGAGCGTGGACTCCCCTGCAGACTCGGCATCTGTATACATTGCTCCCTGATGAGCGACGAGGATTTTGGTGAGTCGTTGGAGCCATTGTATACACGGATCTAAGTTAAAAAGAGAGATGGATAAATATGAAAATGAAGTGTTATGGATGAGGATGAACAAGACACGTGGACGGAACGACGACGTTGGATGACACAACTTAGGACTAGTACATGTCAATTGGAAGGACTAATCTATTGAGGAGTCACTATGGTCAATGGGGCCATCCATTGGGAGGCGAATCATTTTCGCCACTGGCCGTCGGATGACGCCCCGTGCTGTAAGCACGTCTGCAACTCTGACCTTGCCGTCGGCGCCCGGACATACCAACTGGATACGCCCAAGCCGCCATTCGTTGGCTGGCAAGCTCTCCTCCTTGATCACAACCATGTCTCCCGCTTGGAGATCTCGCGATGGGAACTTCCATTTGTTCCTTTTGTGGAGCTCCTTCAGATATTCCTCCTTCCAACGCACACAGAACTGCTGATGCAGGGCCTTCAACCTTCGCCACCGATTGATGATGGAAATAGGATTTTCCTCAATCAGAGGCTCCGATACCGCAAGAAGTGGTCCATCGATTAGAAAATGTCCGGGGCTAAGAGCCACAAGGTCAGTGGGATCTTCGGACATTGGCGAAATAGGCCTGGAGTTTAAACAGGCCTCAATTTTCGCAAGGAGGGTAGCCAGTTCTTCGAAGGGGTACTTCCCTGCTGCTGTGTACTTGTAGAAGTAAGCCTTGAAACTTTTCACACCCGCCTCCCAGAGCCCTCCCATGTGAGGCGCGCCAGGAGGGTTGAAATGCCAGGCCAAGTTCTGAAGGCTGTGTTTGGAGAGGATCAGTGTTCTGGTTGACTCCATAAAGTCTCTGGATAAGGACGTAGAGGCTCCGACAAACGTTTTCCCGTTGTCAGAGTAGACATGTTGTGGACACCCACGGCGAGCAGAAAAAAGAGAAAAGGCATCTAAAAATGTCTCTGTCGTCAAGTCGGACGTCGCTTCGAGATGGATGGCCATGGTACTGAAGCAAACAAAAACGCAGACGTATCCCTTTGTGATTTTGCAGGCTCGACCGACATAACTCTTGATGTCAAATGGCCCCGCGAAATCCATGCCTGTATGAGTGAATGGCCTCGAGAAAGAGGATCTCGCCCGGGGCAATTCCCTCATCAACTGCCTCTGCAGGTTCTTCTTGTGGATGACACAAACTCGGCACGAGTGAATTGTTTGTTTCACCGATCTCTGAAGCTTAGGAATCCAGAATTTAGACCGAATCAGTCTCACCATTAACTGATTCCCCCCATGCAAGGATATGCGATGGGTAAACAGGGCTTGTAGTTTCGCGAACCTACATCGCGCTGGGATGATGATAGGATGTTTTTCATCATAACTGAGCATGTCAGATGCTTGTAAACGGCCGCTAGCTCCAAGACCCCCTTTCTGTCAAGAAAGGGGTTTAGGTTAGAAATTGTACTTGAGGATGGAATTTGCAGCTTGTTACTTAAAGCCTTATATTCGACGGGAAACTCGTTCTGTTGAGTGAACACGATTAACCGCTCTTGCACGTCGGACAACTCCGCCGAAGTGAGTGCTGACGATGGGGGTATATCTTCCTTTTTGCAATTTTTCGCAAAACGGATCACGTATGCTAGAACCCGCAGCGCCCTGTCGAAGGTTGAAAAACGCTCTAGGATATCCACTGCTGGCGGCACTGTGGCACTGTGACATTCGATAGGCCGTTGCTCCATCTTGGTTTCCGGATTAAGCAGTGGTTGACTCGGCCACTGCTCCTGCTTGAGTGGCAGCCAAGCCGGCCCGTGCCACCAAAGTGTGCTGTCCTTAAGCTCTTGGGGCGAGACGCCCCGGCTTGCCAGATCAGAAGGATTGTCTTCGGATCGTACATGGCCCCATTTGCTTTCGTTGGTGCGCTGTTCGATCTTTGCGACCCTGTTGGCCACGAATGTCGTCCAGGTGCATGCTGGCTTGCCTAGCCATGCAAGAACTATGGTAGAGGCGGTCCAATAAAAAATCTCATAAGCTTTAGGAGGCAATTCGGAAATTACTGATGCTGCTAGCTCAGTGAGCAGCACTGCTCCGCACAACTCCAGGCGGGGTATGGAGATGGACCTGACAGGAGCGACTCTGGTCTTGATGCCAGCAAATGGGCACAACAGCCGTCAGCCGTTTCGACTCGGACGAAAATAGAAGCCCCATATGCGTCCTGCGACGCATCGCAAAACGCATGGTACTGCACCTTGGCAGCAGGATGGAAACGCACCCATCTCGGAATACGAATTTCCCTCAGGGTCGGATACCCTTTCAAGAACTCTTGCCACTTGGTCACCAGGTCGGTGGGGAGTGGCTGATCCCAGCCTAGCTCCCGTAGCCAAATTTCCTGCATGAAAATCTTGGCTCGGATTACGAAAGGCGATAACCACCCTGCCGGGTCGAAAAGTTTTGCTATCTGAGATAAGACCTCTCGTTTGGTGTAGCCAGTTTGCAGGGGGATCACCATTGGAACAAAAAAGAAACTATCGGATGTAGCTTGCCAATGGATCCCAAGAGTTTTCGCCGTGCTGGCATCTTCCAGCTCAAGGAAGTCTGCACTGATCAAATGTTCCCTCGGAATCGCTTGTAGGAGTCTCCTTTCGTTGGAGGTCCACTTGCGCAGTGGAAAACCGGCACTCTCGAGAGCCAGCCGAAGCTCTTTAATGGCTAAAACTGCCGACTGCCACGTACATAAAGTTCAAAATGATGTCGCTGGCCAAAGGATATTGGCCTTGGATGTCCTGAGCCAACTGCTGAAGCACTCTGATGGCCAGGAAGGGCGCACAATTTACGCCGAAGGTGACTGTGTCGAGTTCATAGTCACAGAGCTCACCGTATTTGTTGGGGAATAAGATTCTCTGAAAGCGCGTGTGATCAGGATTGACCCGGATTTGCCGATACATCTTGGTGATGTCCGCATTAAAAACATACTTAAAGAAACGCCATTTTAGAATCTGAATAGTCAGATCGGACTGTAGTACAGGCCCCGCATGAAGGATATCATTGAGGCTGTTCCCGTTTGATGAGGGATTGAAAGCGTTGAACACGACGCGAACCTTCGTCGTGGTGCTATCTGGTTTGAAGACAGCGTGATGAGGCAGATAAAAACTGCTGGAGTCGTCAGGGGAGACTTGGTGCACATGACCTAAGTCTAAGTACTCTCGAATGACTGAGTCGTACTGCTCCTTCAATGGAAGATCTTTACTTAATCGCATTTCGTTTCGAAGGTACTGAGCTAGTGCGATGGGTCTGGAATGTCCCAGCTTAATATTGTCCGGCTCTTTAAGGGGCAACGAAACAACATATCTTCCATCCTGACTTCTTTTGGTGGATCGGATAAAGTTCTCCTCGCAAACCGAGGTGGATTCCTTAACCAGCTTCACTGGAACATCCTCCACCTCCCAAAATTTTGTGAGGATTCTGTCTAGTTTGGATTCCTTGACTGCTAATCGGGCTGAAAAGGAGCGGATTCTGCTCATGGGACTCGTTGCAATAGGACCGCAAAGAATCCACCCGAATATGGTCTCTTGACCCAGGAGTGTTCCACAAATATTGGAATGGGAGCCACTGAGGAGGATCGATGGCAGGATATCGGCACCAATAAGCACGTCAATCTGCGAGCTTCGGAAGAAATTTGGATCTGCTAGTTGCAACGGTGGAAGATCCTTTAATGAGGCCTCTGGTAAAGTGTAGGATGGGAGATTACCAGCTAGCTGGGGTAACACGTATGCACAGGTTTCAATCTGGATCTGGATTCTTGACGGGAGAACCTATGTTGAGTTGACACCTCTTACGAGGCTGAGCGGCAACGGAAAGGTTGACCCCCGAAACTTGAGCCTGAATGGACTCATACGGCAACTTAATTAGGTTGAACAACCGTTCTGAGATGAAGGTTGCCTCAGAACCTGAGTCAATGAGTACCCGTGCTGAGTATTTGATGCCCAAATGGCAATCTTCTATTAATGCCGTACTCAGGAGGACCCTTTGCGTGTTAACGACAAGAAACGTTTGCACATTCGCTTGACTCGTCGATGGAGTGGACTGTATGTGTTGCTGGATTGTTGTGGATGAATGGGACTGTTGGTCAGGTATGACCACTGACTGGACTGGCGGAGGGCCGCTTCGATGCAGGAGAGTATTGTGACGTCCACTGCAGGTTTAGCAATTATGCGTGCTGTTGCAGTCCCGGAGAAGATGCGTTCTTGCGAAGCAGTTCAAGCACAACTTCTGCTGTTTCACATGTTTCTCTCGATCTGCGACTGACATTCGCAAGAATAGAGGACATACTCGGATTGGATGGTTCTCCTGTGCGCAGAGTTTACAGGATTGCGGGTTTACCGTAACTCTGTTCTCAAAGGTCTGGATTGACCGCGAGCTATTGTCAGCCCTCAGTGCCCTGGATTGAACGCTCGCGTTCGGCTTGAACTCTTCAATCGCCTCAAGCGTTCGATGACGATCCTTTAAGAATACCTGGAATTCAGCCCAGAGTGGAATCTCAGACTTACTTAGAAGGGACTGCTCCCAAAGAGACAACGTTAGTTTTGGCAACTCGGAAGAGCAAAGGAAAACCAGCAGGCAATCCCAATTAGTGGTCTCGACCCTTGCTATTTGCAAGGCCGTTAAACAACCTTGGATGGTGTTCACTAAATGCTTCAAGGATTGACCACATTCCTGGGCAACAGAAGGCAAATTGAAAAAATCTTCAATTGGCTGTTGACCAGTAGCCTCTTATTCTCGAACCGATTCTGCAAATTTCTCCACGCTGACTCAAAACCATCGTTGGTCAACGGAGACAAGGCGACAATGGATTTGGCCTCGCCACTAGTCTTTGCATTGAGATGGAACAGTTTTTCGACTTCTGAAAGCCGAGGATTGCGTATATAGATGGCTGAAAAAAGGTCCCGAAATGTGGGCCATTGAACATAGTCACCATTGAAAACTTCGCACTCGACTGGAGGCGACATCCGCCCTGCGACGGCGTCAGACTGGAGGACTGAACAGACTGTGGCGCGCGTGAATCTTCAATGATCTCATTGAGGTTTGCTGCGCACCGCTCGTAAACGGTATAACAGTAGTCATACTTGGATTGCATGACTGTTATTGAGTCCTTGCAGTTTACACTGGCCAGCACTTCGGAGCACGTCTCGTACTCCCTTTCCACCTTGTCACAGAGGGCCCTGATCTGCTCGAGTCGAACCCTACTCGTGTGGATGGACGGACCTTGGTCAGTCGGGGTGTTGAATCTGACTTCGAACTGACCTATCCTATCGGTTATGGTCATGAATTTCACCAAGGCCTTGTCTCCCTCAGCTTGAGCCCTTCTTTCAGTTGCTCTAGTGACCTGGGAAGACACGACTGATTTCGCGGCCTTTATGGATGGTGCAGGCGGTGGAACTTCGAGCGACGTGCTCGTAGATTTACGTGGAGTGGTTGTTGCTAATGGGCTTTTGCTTCGAGAGGGATATTCGCTTTCGGAAAGCACAGAGGATTCACTCGTTGCCCTGCCTCTGGAAGACGCCTCCGCTGTAGAAACGGTCAGAAGGGGTTTTGGTTCCTCACCGTCGCCGTTTTCTATGTTAAACTCTTGTTGGGGCCGCTCGATAAGCGCAGGAAAACAGAGTTAATCGTAAAAATTATATTTATCGATTCGGAATAAGTGCAGGGACGCTGGATAACCGTAAATAAACAAATAATACTCGAAAAGGATGTTATCGATTTTAAATCAATACAGGGACGCTGGATAAAGCGTTCAAAATTTAAGGTTATCGATTTGAGGGATACGGGGACGCTGGATGACGCGTTGGCACGGATGTACTCGGTTCGAAAGATATGGGGCGCTGGATAACGCGTAGAAAAAATTAATCGAAAAAATGCTATCGATTTCCAATTAATACAGGGACGCTGGATAACGCGTTCACCGAATTAATCGAAAAAAAAGTTGCTAGAAATTTCAAATCACTACGAGGACGCTGGATAAAGCGTTTAAAAATTATGGGTATCGATTTGGAATAAATACCAGGCGCTGGATGAAGCGTTTAAAAATTATGGTTATCGATTCGGGAAAGTGTGTACGTTAGAAAACGCGTAGAAGAAATTAGTCGAAAAACTGCTATCGATTTCAATTTAATACGGGAACGCTGGATGACGCGTTGACAAGGATGCACTCGATTCAAATTAATATGGGGGCGCTGGATAACGCGAAAAACAAAATTAATCGAAAAAGAATGCTATCGATTTCAAAGGAATTAAAATAAAAAAAAAATCGTCGAAAAAGGTTTTTATCGATTTGGGTACGAAGAGAGGGGAAAAAAACGTGTAGAATTAATTATTCAGGGACAAATAAATGTTCGTCAAAAATACTGTGGGGCTAGAAAGTGAGAAAAAGATTAATCGAAAACTGATGTGTATCGCCTTGGAAGAAATGCTTGGACGCTGAATAAAGCGTACCACAAAATAATCGGAACCGATGTACACGATTTGGAAACAAAAGGGCGCTGGATATCGCGTAGAGGAAATCAGTACCCAATTGAAACCAAAAAACAAAGAAAATATGAAAAAAAAGCACCCATGTGTGAACGGCTCGTTAACAGACTAAGCCGTGTATGGTAATAGTGTCGCAACCTTGGCGGCCAGTACCTACATACATATGTATTTACACAGAATAAACAAATCAAAACTATTAAAAAAACGCTTATTTGTTTTTAATTCTGTTTGTTTCACTTTGTTTGTGTTCGGGTGCAGCGACACTGTTAGCTGCCGATGCTCAATTGCCGGTCCAGCAATTTGTATGGATATGTACATATACATATGTTTTTTTTTTTTTTTTTTTTTTATTAAAAAAGAATATAGAGTTAAGTGTAATATACAAAAAAGGGAAAGAGTGGAAGAGTCCGCACCCGTGGGACTGCCGCAAAGCTATACTTCACGGGGGCGGCTGGCGGTCCTAATGCCGCTCATCGGCCTTCAGTGCGACGGGTCTGCTCCCGGCGCCTCAGCTCTCGCATCACGGATGCTGCCATTTCAGCAACCGCTTCCCATTTGGAGGGGGTCTCCATCATGCAGCAGACTAAGATGTCGGGTGTCAGGCGGCAGTTCATTGCCACTTCCAGCGCGGCTCGTTCCGCCGAGAATAGGGGGCATACGAAGAATGCATGCTCCGCGTCCTCAGTAAAAGCGCTGCCACAGTAGTCGCAGTACGGGTCGACCTCATGCTTAAACCTGTGCAGGTAAGCCTTGAAGCAACCATGTCCTGTGATGATCTGCGTGGTGTAGTAGTCCAGCTGACCATGTCGTCTCTGCAACCAGGGAACCAGATCGGGGATGAGCCTGTAGGTCCATCGTCCTGTGCTCGCG